TTAATATATAAAGTTACACGAACTAATCTAAAAACAATGGAATCACAATGAATTAATACAGTTACTAGGATTGAATTACCAGAGTTATTTGTAAATTACTAAAAATTTTCTAGAATTACTAGATTTTTTGGAATTATTGGAGATGATTTATTCTTTTAAAAATTACGTTGAACTTCTTAAAACTATCAGAAATAAATTGGAATTACAGGAATTAATCTGAAAATTTAATAACAATAACATTAATAAAATTGAATTTCGGTGAAATTTCTCTGAATAGGAATTATAGGAATGGATTTAATCTGAAAGCGATGGAATTACCATGAATTACCAGAATTACTTGAAAAATTGCCTTGAATATCTTAGAAGTATCGTAATTAATTTGGAATTACAGAAATTATTTTGATAATAGGAAAATTAAGTTAGGATTATGGAAATTATGTTGGAATTAATTTAGAACTATAGGAATTAATCCGAAAACAATGGAATTACGATGAATCCATTATTAATCAATAGAATTAATGAAAAATTTCCTTAGATTTTTTTATTACTTTCCGGAATTATGTGTAAATTGCTGGATTTTTTTAAAATTACTAAAAACAAATTGGAATTACTGGAATTATTAAATTGGAATTAAGTTGTAATTACAGAAATTAGATTAAAATTACACGAATTAATCTAAAAACAATGGAATCACAACGAATTAACACAGTTATTGGAATTGAATTACCAGAGTTATTTGTAAATTACTAAATTTTTTTTAGAATTACTAGTTATTTTTGGAATTTTTGGAGATGATTTATTCTTTTAAAAATTACGTTAACTTCTTAAAACTATCAGAAATAAATTGGAATTACAGGAATTAACTTGAAATTGTAGGAATTAATCTGAAATATTAATAGTAATAAAATTAGTGAAATTGAATTTCGCTGAAATTTTTATGAAAAGGAATTATGGGAATTGTTTTAATCTGAAAGCAATGGATTAATAGAATTGCCGGAATTACTTGTAAATTACAAAATTTCGTTGAATATCTCAGAAGTATGGTAATTAATTTACGATATTACGAAAATTAAATTAGGATTACGGAAATTTTGTTGGAATTAATTTAGAATTATAGGAATTAATCCGAAAACAATTGAATTACGATGAATCCATTATTAATCAATGTCCACTATTAATCATTAGAATTACTGAAAAATTTCGGTAGAATTTGTTTAACTACTTATGGAATTATGTTTAAATTACTGGATTTTTTTAAACTACTAAAAATTTTTTTTGGAATTACTGGAATTATTAAATTGGAATTAAGTCGTAATTACATAAATGAATTTGAAATTGCATAAATTAATCTAAAAACAATGGACTCACAGCGAAATAATAGTTATTGGAATTGAGTTACCGGAATTATTTGTAAATTACTACAATTTTTATATAATTAATGGAATTTTTTTGGAATCATTGGAGATAATTTATTCTTTTAAAAATTACGTTGAATTTCTTAAAACTATCAAAATTAATTTGGAATTGCGATAATTAAATTGGAGTTACAGGAATTAATGTAAAAACAATAAATTTTTGGTGGAATTTTTTGTAATTGGAATAAATTGTACACTTTTTTTTTCAATTTAACGGCCCCTTGCAATCAATTATACTCTTTTTTAATTGCCTAAATTGTTAACATTGCAGATTAGTTTCATCTCACGCAGAGATTTCAATTAAACTTTACCGAAGATTATAAAGGTTGTATTATTTCGATTAGATAAAATCATTTTTCGAAAATTAATAGATGTAATGAGTCAGCAATTTTTTTCCCACACTGAAGCAGAACATGACGTTTAAATAAAGATAATTTTATAAACATATATATATTTTTTTGTATTTAATTATTGAAAAATATTTAATAGTTATTTTTGTAACAAAGGAATAAACATTTTCAGCGATTAATGATATTAATTCCAGAAATACACACAAAACAACAGACTAAATTATTAATAACATAAAAAAATGATAAGTCAAAATCTTCAGTTCATTTAAATGCAATTTTAAGAGTAAAAATCGCTCTGAATGAGTTTGTTTATGTCAAAAAACACTCAAAATATTCAATTCCAGTTTATTTTATTCCCAAGGGAATAAAGCGTCACTTTATTTCTTGTCGGGAGGAAAAAATGTGTTTTTTATTTTGTTACTTTTATAACCTGTCTTATGAGAAAAAGCATTCGTGGGTTGAATTGAAAAAAAGATTATAATTGTGAAGTCCATCTCTCCCGGCCTTACCCTATACGAGTACATAAATAAATACGTTGAGTTAAACGGAAATCAATTATGAAGCGGCCCGGCCATTTTGTATTTTTTTTTTCACAATTATTCTAGTTTAAAATTACTTGTAAATAAGTGATAATAATCAACAAATGAAAACTTACATCAAGAGTTGTCTATTTTGGCCATCAATCAAACAGAATTTAACAGTGTGTGAAATGAAAAACTGGTTTCAAACACTTTGGAAGTTGATTGATTTAAACTCAACAGTGCAACAAATACGAAAATTTGCAATAAGTTGAATGTATTAAAAATGTATTGAAGCACTTTGCATTAATTTACATTCTCAGAGTTCTCCACATCCATTAATACAAGTTTTTATGTAATTTTCTATCGGATTGTGGTATTTAAAGTATCTGTTTATTCGTTCTACTTCTCAATCAGTGAAGTAATTTTAATTAAAGAACATTGCTTATGTTTTGCGGACATAAAAACGACCAAAATCAATTAATTTAACATTAAACCATCCAAGACATGCAATAACATAAAATTTATTTAAAAATTCTCGATTTTTCAGGCTCACATCATGCATTATTTTCCTTTTCTTGAGCTTTTTTTTGCTCCTCTTCGGCTTTTTTCATATCCTGATACAAATCGTACAGTTCTTGATTGGGTTCCAACACTTGAGTGAAGTGTAGTAACTGAAAAAGCAATTTTCATTAGTAGTGACAGTCATAGTTGTAGTATGTAGAAAAATTAAACAAATCGATTTTTGTAACATAACATTGTTTGCGCCCATTTTTAAATAATATAAATATAGTAGAACCCGTTAGAATTTTATGTGTAGGCCCTTCGATTATGTCATTGTAGATTATTTTTAACACATGTTCGCAAATTATTTTTTAACAAACCGAAATAGTGTTGTAGTCGATATACAGCGAGCGGCAAAATTATGGAATAATCTTATTAAGAAAAAAAAATCAAGTAAGATAAGATACAAGGAACATGGAAAAATGTTTGTCAATTTGCCATTTTTTTTTCATACTGAAAAAAATATTTAGTAAAAAAAAATTCCATAATTTCGAAATTTTTATAGATAGAATTTTTTTAACACTTTTTCCATGTTTCTGGTGTCATATTTTTCTCTGGGGTGCGAGTTCTGGCGCACCCTGTATTTTGTTTTGGCAAAAATGCTCGAACAGCTCAATTTTCTTTCTAAAAAATACATAATTTTCAACTTTATTTAAAATTTTTCATTTTTTGGGTTTTGAGTAAATGGAAACCCCAATTTTTTGGTTGTTTCGATAGATCTTTTGATTGAAATATTAAATATTACATAAAATTTTCGAAGAAAAATCATCCAAAAAACAAACATATATTTTTAAATTAAGTTGAGAATTTTGTATTTTTTAATAAGAAAATTGACTTGTTCGATCAAAATATTTTCAAGATTATTCTACAGGGTGATTCATCTCAGCCTCGGTCTTCTGTAGCTCAGTTATTATTTATGTGGGAATTTTGATATTTTGTAGACATTATTTAGAGCACATTTCAGGAAAATATTTTTATTTATACAGAGTGGCCCAAAAATTAGTTTTTTTTAAATGAAATACTATTTTTGAATGTAGCTTTTAATTTCGATGTTTTTTAGCTAAACTTCTATTAGTCGATTTTGCTTAGTTTTTGAATTAAGTTGTTTTTTTTTGGCGAAATCATGCTCTTTTCAAAAATATATTACAAAAAAAGTTAAGACATCTGGATTTTCTTTTTATCACGAGGAAAGTACGAACTTTAAGACTATAACATTTTTTTGAATGTATTGCAATCGAAATGTTAAATTTTTTTGAAATAATATAAAAAATTTAAACCTTATTGAATGATAAATTGTCTATCTAAAAAAATAAACTTTTGATTTCTAGAATTGATAAATTAAAAGATATTTAATTTTAAATATTAATTGTAGCCAAGAAACATAATATGTTTAATATTTTTGACTATACAGGGTGGCCCAAAAATCGTTTTTTTTTTAAATGAAACACCATTTTTGAATGTAGCTTTTAATTTCGATGTTTTTAAGCTAAACTTCTATTAGTCGATTTTGCTTAGTTTTTGAATTAAGTTTTTTTTTTTTTGGCGAAATCATCCTCTTCAAAAATTTAAACAAAAAAAGTTAAGATATCTGGATTTTTTTATCACGTGGAAAGTACGAACTTTAAGACTATAACATTTTTTAAATGTATTGCAGTCGAAAAGTTAAAAAAATGTTAAATAAATTTTAAAAAAATACCTTATTGTCTATCTAAAAAAATAAACTTTCGATTTCTAGAATTGATAAATTAAGAGATATTTAATTTTAAATGTTAATTGTAGCCAAGAAACATAATGTTTAATATTTTTGACTATACAGGGTCGCCCAACAAAAGTATTTTTGTGGTGTAGTATATTTTCCTGAATATAAATAAAGCCTACAAAATATCAAAAAACTGAGCTGAGATGAATCACCCTGTATAATTTTGTCGCTCACTGTCTATGAATAGTTGGTAGGTTTTATCGAGTTGTAGTTTTGCACAGTTTCTATTTTTCCCAGTGATAACATTGGGTTGTTACTACTAACTTTCTTTCCTTTTTTTGGTATTAACAACACTCGATAAGGTACCACTATTAGGGTGTAAGTAGTCGATTTGTAAATGTATTAATAAAGCCTCCATTATGTTTAAGTGTCTTTATTTGTAGTTTACAATTAATAATTGTAAAAATATTTGTAATAACGTCGAAAAAGATGTAGAAATCATCATATGTTCATGCTCTACCACTTCTACTACTACTAATCCGCCTTGTGTAGGTGTAGAATGTTTTGCACGCACAAAAAAACTAAATTCAAATCTCATATGATTTTTTACTTAAAGTGTCGCAGACGTGATGAACCGACCAAGAAAAAGGATCCCGAAACGACCATTCAACACAACACTGGAACCAAAGGTAACACAACGAAGCCTCCAAGTAGCAGAATCATTGTTTTTTACCCAATAGTTTTCGGTAAAAATCAATGTTTATTTCGTTTGCATCCCCTAGATGGCTCAAGAGGCGCCGCGACGCTACGCTACCATCGCGAACTACAATTTATCGACCGGTCGTCACTCCCTCTCCCGAATTCGAGAAATGCCATCAATTCGAAAAGCTTTTATTCAGAAGAGAAAACAAAATGATAATAGTACAAAAAAATACTAATCTACATACTACAACTATACATGTAAAGCGAGCAAATCAATGTTGTGCAAACAAAGGGTTAAAATTTATTAGTAGGTAGAGTACTAAAACTAAGCTAACAAGTGTCTAGAACTACAATAGGGCTATACTATAGCACCGCCATGTGCGTGTTGTTTGTTCCCTTCTCTCCTTGTGCAATTCTAGTTATCCGATGGCACTTTTCGGGTTTTTTCACACACATGATGACCATGGATCTAGTCATGGTCATGTCCCGAAGCAGCAGTAACTTGATATTAGTACTGCTGTGACAGGACAATATCATGGCTGGATCCTCTAGGTGTGGGACAAGAACGCGACGCGGGCGGACACTGACTGAGTCGAGGGGGAGATCTGATCAACCCCTCGCTCAATCGCCGCCATGGTAACCGGCCTGCGCCGCCGCCACAGCCGCGCCCCACATCACTAATGTATACACACGTGCACAAGGGGGATGGATATTGATCGTGGAACATGGCGGCGCTGCGCCCCTTTTACACATTCTTTTACCTTTGTACTGCGCGGATGGATGAGCCGGTCCAAGCGATCAGCAGGCTTTGTACTATATCGGCTTCTAGACAACAATATCATCATTAATAGACAAATCGGTGGAAAAAAATTCTAAAGAGTTGGAATTTTTTTTAAACGCTTTTTTTATACATACAGGCTGTATTATGAAAAACGCCCCAAGTTTGAACAAAGTTGAACATTCTTTGTCATCTATCGTTTGGGATAGATGCTAAATTAATGCTGTTTTCTGTTTCACCGGAAATCACATCAACTTTATTTTTTTTAATGGAACACCCTGTATATTTTACCACTTTTGGATTCTTTGTTTAATTGTATTTTAACAAGTTTTAGTACCATGTGCCAACCAACCGTTCGTGAGATATGAGTCAATTAAAAATTTGACAAATACTATTACTTTGCATTTTCTCTTATTATTATTATACTTTTTGGTGTTCTGGTGATAATGTGTTAACAGACATGATTCAAGAATATTTTGAAAGCAATAAAAATAGTTGAGACCACAACGCCTTTACACTGGGCGGTTTTCAATAAGAGAAGTTCCAATTCGTGGACCTGAAAAAAATTTGAGGATGTTTGGGGTTTTAGAAAACCCAAATTAGAACAGTTCGATAAGCCAACGTTACTTGCAATTTCTTGAATTCATGTTCTTGCATTTTCTTCAATACCTATCTTTGAAATTTGAGATGTTTTAATTTGGGTTTTTTAAAAGCCCAAAACATCCTCAAATTTTCTTTAAGTCGCTTAAATTTTCGACGATTTGGAACGTCTCTCATCAGAAATCACCCAGTGTAAAAGCGTAGTGCTCTCCCACAATTTTTATTTTATTCAAAATATGTCTGTTAACACATTATCATCCATGATTAACATTAAAAAGTGTAAAAACAATAAGAAAAAATGCAAAGGAATAATATTTGTCAACATTACTTGATATTATTCTTTTCCACTGTCTACTTTAATAAATACATTATTTGGTGAATATCTCACGAACGGTTAGTTTTAGGCATATGGTACTAAAACTAGTTAAAAGATAATTAAACAAAGAATCCAAAAGTGGTAAAATATACAGGGTGTTCCATTAAAAAAAATAAAGTAGATGTCATTTCCGGTGAAACAGAAAACAGCATTAATTTAGCATCTATCCTAAACGATAGATGAGAAAAAATGTTCAACTTTGGTCTAAGAAGTATTGTCATAACTTTAAAAATAATGGAGTTATGGCTTGGGGCGTTTTTCATAATACAACCTGTATAAGCAAAAAAACAAAAAAAAAGACACCTTTAGTCCCCTCCTCGAGCTCGTCGACTTTTGATATATGTCTTTCCAAGAATAAAAAAATTCCAACTCTAGGATTTTTTTCCACCGATCGCCCTATTTTTGTCTAATTTGCCTGGGTTATTAAAAAAAAAACATGATTTTATATAATTTCTACTTACATTACACAGTCTGTGTTGAATAGAGTATAGAATGGCCAGAAAGTGAACATACAAACATCCATTATGCAGATGCACAAAATCGGGATTAGCTGAAACAATTAATATACGAGTGAAATTTTTACAGTTCTGCAATGGGGGAAGGCAACGGCCTCATCGAACACGACCTTCATGGTTCTTTGGTACCGATGAACGGTAGCCATTCTGGATCTTCAGGTCGTAGTACACCAAACAACTCTAATGATCCAGCACCGGGAAAACTCTTTGTTGGTGGTTTAAGTTGGCAAACATCGAGCGAAAAGTTACGGGAATATTTTGGAATGTTTGGAAACGTCACCGATGTTTTAATTATGAAAGATCCTGTAACACAGGTACGAGTTTTGGAGTAACCCCAACTATTTTTCGAGTTTCCGATTTTCGTAAATTTGAGGTATTTTTTTCTATCTTGCGCTTTTCATGTACTTTTTTAACATAAAAGTCAATTTTACAAAATTTAGGAACTTTTGCTCTAATAAGGTTGTGGTTGGTAATAAATGTCACAAAGTTTGAAAGTTTGATTTTCCAAGTGTCTCAAGTGTTTTTCAATTAAATTAACAATAAATAATGCAAATTTTTCATCGACATGACCTGAAAACGCTGCTGAAAATCACCATTACCAACCTTTAGAAAGTAAATTGTACTAGTCCATTTTAGCACCCGAATCGGTGTTCATTAAAGCATCAAAATACAAAAAGTTTTAAAGTGAAACATTTTTTCCATCGTCCCAATTTTTTTCGTCCATCTATCGCATATCGCATTACAACCGGCCGTGGAGTAGGGGTAAAATGAAAAGCGCTCGGCAGAGCAGCCAAGTCCAATATCAGCTAACCGTGTAGCATTTATATTCTTACTCATTCGTGCAAGTGTTCCGCGGTATTTGTGTGTTTTGATCAGTGTAATGATCGGAAATAAAGTTTTACTTGCATTGTGGTTTCTTTAAACAATAGCAGTTTTTTATGTATATTATACAAAATTAAGTAACTCGAAAGAAAAAAAAAATATCTTAAAAACAAATCAACATATTGAAATGATTTTTTTAAGCAATAGATATAAATAGGTACTCTACGGACGTGGTAATTGATGCATTCCAAAAGCTTGTTATTAAAAATATATCGTTGAAACAATAAAAAAATTACAATTAAGGTTTTTAAAATTCTCGAAAAAATTATCTAATAGCCCTCAAATTTTTACTATGTTTCTATACAAGTTTCAAGATGGACGTTTAGAAAATGGCTGAAATTTTTTTTTACCCTTGGATCGCCTGAATGTGGCGTTTCCATGGAAACTAAATATAAAATTACCTATTACCCTAATTAATACATTAAATTGTTCTAATTTCATTATGTTTTATTCATTTTTGGTAATATCAATAATATGTATTCAAAAAATATCTACTGTTTATAAGTACAGTCACGTGCAATATATTTTGATTGTCAATGTCACAAAAAAATATTCTTTTAAATCAGAATTTTGCAATTTACCCTTTGTGATTAATTTTTCTGTCTCAAAAAGTCAAAAATAGTTTCAATTATGACACAAATTTCAAATTATACAAAAATGTCATCGACGACCAAAATATATTGCACGCAACTGTACCTTTGGGTAGTTTACAAAAGATGCATTTAGATGGGTAGTTTCAAATATTACGTTTTGCTATAGTACAAAAATATGGAACCAAAAGTTTTTTTTAATTATTTGCCTTTAGAAAATACCGTAAAACGGGATTACTTTGACATAGTTTGAGAGGTTTTGTTAATGTAACTTTTTTATTTGTTACAATATTTTTTTGAAAAAAATTCATCAGAACAATTGATCCTTTTGCTTTAACAAACAAACTTAAAATTTTGCCTCAAGGTCATAGTTTTTCCAAAAAAAAATTTGAAAATTTAATGTCAAAGAAACCCGACTTTGGGGCTATTTTTACAGTTCTTTTAATTACGTTGAAAATCAAAGTTGTGCTAGGCTGAGGAGTACTTTGACACATTAAAACTAAAAATATGTAATATATGATGTAAATAAATTATATGTAATAAAATATATATTTTATTTGTACTTTCTTAAAAAAATAAATAAATAAGTCATTTTTTGGTATGTTGTGGCTATTATATGGCATAAAAATAAAATAAACATAATTTTGGTGGATACCTATACTGAAAATAAAATAAAATTAGTAGCCACATAACCTGTCAAAGTAAATAAAATGCTAAAAAAATGTGATTCTATTTTTAGATAAACTCTTGTTTTGTTTTTGAGATATGCGATTCTTTTACTTCAAAATAGCAACTTTTATGAAAATTCTTTTGATAAAAATTAAATAAAACGTGAATAGTCACATTTTTCACTACTATTATTCATCATTTAATTTTTTCAAAAAATAAATAACTTTACGAAAAAAACATTTGGTTTGATACTTTTTGTTGACAATTTGAAAAACATTGCGATTCTTTAAAATATTGTTTTAGTCTAACAAACCTCATAAAAGGAATGCAAAACCTACACACTCATTTACCGAGAAATTTGTTTTTAAATATTAATTTTTGAAAAATAATAATAATAATAATAAATTATGTGTTTTATTCAGAATAGTTTATTAATGACGAGAATTGTTTTTTTTGTGGCAATTTGGCATTTTTAAAACGTCCGTCTTGAAACTTCTATGGGGAACATAGTAAAAATCTGAAGGTTTTTAATGATTTTTTTGAGAATTTTAAAAACCTGCGAACTTCATTGTTATCTTTTTTGCTTCGAGGTATTTAATTTTGTACATGTCGGTTTTTTTAATTTGTATACATTGAAAAAAATAAAAAAACTGTAAAATGTGTCACCTATTTATAACATATCTCAAATTTACGAAATTCGGAAACAATGATCATTTTGGCGTGAAATTACTCATTGTGTTTTGCTTTTTTTGTTGTAGAGGAGTCGCGGCTTTGGTTTCATCACATTTTCGGAACCATCAAGCGTCGACAACGTCCTCAAAGTGCCAATTCACACTTTAGACGGTAAAAAAATCGACCCAAAACACGCCACACCGAAAAATCGCCCAAAACAGCCCAACAAAACGAAAAAGATCTTCGTTGGTGGCGTCAGTCAAGACACCTCCGCCGACGAAGTCAAAGCCTATTTCAGTCAATTCGGCAAAGTGGAAGAAACCGTCATGTTGATGGACCAACAGACGAAACGTCATCGTGGCTTCGGTTTCGTCACATTCGAAAACGAGGATGTCGTCGATCGTGTATGCGAAATCCATTTTCACACAATCAAAAATAAAAAAGTCGAATGCAAGAAAGCTCAACCGAAAGAGGCGGTGCAAGCGAGCGCTCAATTGCTCGGCAAACGCCTCATGCTCAGCGGTCTAGGCATGCGGATGGCC